CGTTAGATCAGCGACAGTCGCCTGCGTAGGCAGGTGACTCAGCCGCAGCTGCGCAACTGGCTCTACACAACGAACACTACCGCACTGCACAGCTCCCCATATTCCGTCCGCCCAAACAACGCCCCAACCAGAAACAGCCCAGCGAACCACCGTAAACCCGGTCTCGCACACCGTGACCCGAGCCTCCACCCCGTGACCTGCGACTCCGTCCCGCGGGCCTCACGCCGCTCCCACCCGCAGCCCGCGGCGGCGCTCACCTCGTATCGGACGGTCTGGTAGACGCGCAGCTTGTTGTCCAGCACCGAGAGCGACTGCGACGGCGGCGAGTCGCCGTTGAACAGGAAGCTGATGTCGCCGCGCTCCCACTTGAAGTCGGCAAAGTCCACCAGCGTGGTGTCCAGTCGGATCGAGGCGCCGCGCTTGTAGATTTTGCACGTGTCCGACGGCAGGATGCGGTGAAGTAGCGGGACTGGAAACAGGCAGAGCGGCGGGTGAGTACTCAGTCAGGAACAACAGACAACTTGGGTCAACTGAGGACAGCATCGAGTTTGTAGCGTCATCATTGAGCACGCAGCATCAGTCAGGGGTATTACGAAGCATGGGTTATCAATCTACGATAACAGAAAGCTCCCTCGGTTCGGGATAACACACAGCAGGAATCATCAGCGTCAGCCATATCGTACCATCAATATGGGCCAATATACATAGAAAGCATAAATAATCACGAGAATAACGACAGATAAACCTAGGAGCCGACAGTTACCGAGCGTCACAGCGACTCACCCCAGGTTTGGAAGTCCCACTTGATTTCCATGTAGAAGTCGGGTATCTGGTGGAGGGCGGCCACCAGCGCCGGCCGACGGCGGTCCATCTGCTCCCGTGACTGGGTCTTCAGTTTCCGCAGCAGAGACGACACTGAGAAACGCGCAGAGAGGCCATCACACGGATAGCCTCAGCAGCGACGACATTGGAGAAAGCGCTAATAGATGAAACTTACAACTTACGTATTTCCGCAGCTCAGTGACGTGATTCCGATTTGTATTTGGAGCTGGATACAGCTAAGCACACTGGGACAGGGCCATTACAACTGGTGACATGTTCTTTGTTTTGTTTGTTTGTTGATTAGGGCTTTAGGGCGCGTCGACTACGGTGGTCATTTTGCGCCCATAAGGAACTACAAATAAGCATAGCACGAGCCATGGGATCCCCACGCTGATGGACAATTCGCTGACTTTCATGCTAGTGCGTCAAATCACCTGTTTGTCGGTCTCCGTAGCTGATGGCCTCAGCTAGAGGGCTCCAGCCGTGTCCGTTCCTGATTTTCACAGTGGCATTCCTCGCCAGCAGCAAGTGCACGATTTCTGTGGCATCGGTACAGTATCACAGGTCAGAGTCTCACGATTTTAGCCGTAACTCTCGTATTTAAAGGGGGCAGATGTGGGGGTCAGACGGACCACTATCGTTTTTTTTTACGGATAACTCGCGTCAATAGCAACGGATCGCGACGAAACACTAAGTACAATCGAGTTAATCAATTTTGCACCTCAACTGTCTCAACTGAAAATTGCATGATCTTGACCCAAATGACCTTTGACCAGTGATATTACCCTTGAGACATGTCAGGCCAGGAAAGCGATTCGAGGCTATTTCAGCACACATAAGCTATCCATTTCCAGCCTTTTTGTGATTACAAACATGCCAAACAATCAACTAGCATAGGTAGCAAAGGCAGCTTTCAGTTTTGAAAAACGTATGCCTTACCTTTGTGGCCCAGCATAACAGCCAGGTGTAGTGGAGTATTTCCTGCAAATCAAATAACAGCAATAAAAAGCTGCATACCAAGTAGGGAAAGTGCACACCACATAATGATAATAATAATAGGAAAATTAACAGGCTGATAAGAAATATTGAGCTTTAAAGCATATTGGTCAGAGTTGAATAATGGAAATACAAACATTTACATAAAACTTGGTGAAAAACTACACATTGCTAAGAATAATAGAAAGTTGGTAAATGCATTAACAGCATCATATCAGTACATACTGCAATATTTAAGGACCAATAAATACACATTAAGAAAAAAGGTATCAGCAAGAAGTGGTATTTGTAGACATTTTGGGAAAACAGGTAGCCCAAAAGCAGAAGTTCAACTTAATGAAAGAAAAACTTACCATGTTTATCTTTTCCATCTATGTCATGCTGCCTCAGAAGATTGGGTATTTTCTTAATTTTTCCCTTATAGACACATTCATGGAGTGGATATTCAGTTCTTGACAAGGCATCACTGCTATCTGTAGTTTCCAATGCTGGAGCTGCAGAATTGGACTGTCTGGCTGCCATCATTTTAGCATCAACTGAGGTACCATATATGATGCAGTTCACTTCAATTTATATTGGTTGGATCTGAAATAAATAAGAATATTTATTGATTATTGTAGCAATTTTGGCTCTATCTCTACCACATTAGCCATAATTGTAATAAGCTAGGTTAACCCGCGCCCGGCTGGGGGTCCTGGATTTCCACGCCCTGCTGGGGGACCCCCCCCCTTCTAACTCGGCTCCTGGGCCACGTAGCGATACGCGGCGTTCGAAAGAGCGTCAAAAATAATGAGGAATTCACTTCGGTCAATTTTTTGGTCAGGTCAAAGGTCAGGTCACCAGAGGTCATTGAAGGCAAAATTTCGTCGATTTCCACGTCGAATGTCGACAATTTCCAAGAAGCCAACGCATAACTCGGGAACCAATAGAGCTACAGCGCCGCGGAAAAGCGCATTCGATAGCCCTATTAACGCCCGTTCTGAGTAATTCACTCAGATTTGACCTAACGTCAACGATTTTGCCTGCAGGGGGCAAAAACTGCAAAAATAGCCGATTTTTTTTCGGAAAGTTTTTCTGCAATAACTTTTGACCCAAGCCTTGTACGAGCTTACTTTTACCGGCATCATGTTCCTCTCGTCAAGACGCATCGAATGACCTAAAACTTGACCTTGAAAGGTCAACTTGAAAATTTGACCTCAGGTCAAGGTCATGACCTGACCAGAAAGGGTCATGTTGCATATCAGTCGATCCGTATCGTCGAGGTGAACACATCTAAGGCGTTTTCATCGCTCTAGCATGCCTCTATCAAAAGTTATTTGCGAAAAACTGTTAGATACCATTCGTGACCTAAGATGACCTCAGGGCATAAACAGGGGTCACGGACACCATTTTCATGTTCAGTGTGTCTAAACCACTTGTAATTCAGTGTTTGGGAGTGTTTATAATGTCTTTCGTCCAAAAGAGGCGCATTTCAATTTTCTCCCATTGACTTATAATGGGGAGGTCGCAAAATTGACCTGACCTTAGGTCATCGATATCAAAATTCTGAGATATACATTTTGTACATGCTATTGCTCTTAGCAATCGCTGAAAGTTTCAAAGCCATCGGTTACTCGGTGTAGCTATGACAGACATTGAAACTTTTTATGAGGTGAGGTCACTTCAAGTGACCAGGTCCTTGAATGACCTTGGTCTGAAATTTTCACAACATGTGTAGAATTGATGTATGATAAGGTGTACCTTTTGAGATATTTGCGAAAAACCACAAGGGGGGGTGTTCAAACACCCCCCCCCCCCAGCAGGGCGCGGGTTAAGGCATGTGATAAGTCACCCATTCATGCCCTCTGATTAAATTCCTGAATGAGTTACTTGATTTTGAAAGATCAGATGTAAGTAGGTGAATCATGAATGATGATATTTATATTAGGAAATTCACCATGATTCAATGACATCATCGTTACATCACAACACGTGAGCCACACCCAGAATTCAAATATGTTTCAAAATACATGTTTATTGAAGACATTTCTAATTTCAATTTGTACCAATCAACTATCAGGCATACCAAAAGAGCAAAGAAAGTTTGCATGGCTTTAAAGTCATAGAGGGATCCTGTATGAACAAATATCATGTTTCGCTCTTTTACTTGAAAACCATTCCTTCTGAGTTAAATTTCTACACTGGAATATGACAATTTATTTATAGCAATGGCAAGAGGACCAGAGTGAAGACTGAAGAGGGTAGAGACAGGTAATGCATATAAAACGCAGTTCACACATGACCGTCAGTCTGTCGGTGTCGGGCCCGTCACCGTCGACCTGACGGCCTGCAGCCCGTCAAACGAAAGTTGAGATTTGGTAGCTCCCATTGGCTGCCATATGTTGTGACAGAAATGGCGCACCATTTTCGAGATGGACGCAGATGGGGGAAGGGGATGGGGATGGTAGAAGCCGAGATATTCTTTGAATTACAGAAATAAAAAACCACGCTTTTGCATTTTTATGTCAAATAATGCTACAATTTTATTTTGATGAAAGACACATCGGTTCGCTGACTTAAATCAGGGACCGAATCTCAAGATATCGTGCCGTAATAAACATTTTCATCTCAACAAATGGATAGAAAATGATATAAATTATCTTAAAAATGCATTTAAGCTCCATGCTCCATGATAACGTTCCTTTTCCTCATCCTCCAACACGCAGACATTCAGACCGACGGGCCCGTCACCGTCAAAAGTTGAACATTGCTGAACTTTCCAAAGCGACGGCCGTCAGGTCCGGCGCCGGTGCAGTCAGCTGTTGCCGGCCGTCAAACGCTGCCGGTTCACACATGCCCGTCGACCTGACGGCCGTCGCTCCGTCGGTTTCGGCCGTTTTGACGGTGTCGGGCCCGTCACCGTCAGACCTTACGGGCAAGTGTGAACTGCGTTTAAATCGCTCGACCAGATACGTTGTACAGATCAATCAGTGTCCTGTCAGGTGTCTACCATACCGGTCACCTGCTTTACACATATTAGTTGTCAAATATTGACATCTACATGAAAGGGAAAGAATGAAATTAAAATGAAAATTGAGATAAAAATTATGTAGCTTACAGCTATCTTCAGAACCTATCTCAATTAATTGCTTATTAACCTTCGCCCCAGTGGGGGGGGGGGGGGGGGGGGGCATATGTGTTGCGACCACCGAGTCTTACTGAGGTTTCTCTTTTCTCAGGTCTTGCACTGACAGACATGTATAAATATTAACTGTGTGTGCCTGAACTGACAAGCTGGCATGATGAGATGGCATGCTGAGACTGCTATGCTGAGACTGGCATGAACTGGGAGCGGAAACTTCGGTAACGCTTTACTTTGCATATGATCTACTTTTTCATATGTTTGCTTATCATTGGTTGTTGCCATCTTCATTTGCTCTTTGTCTGTCAATGGTCATCGCTCATTAACTTCTGTGTCATTGACTGTGTTATGTGCTGTCTCTGCTTGCAGAAACCCCACTTTGCTGCATGCGCGCAAGGCTGTGTTTTGTGCCATTCCTTCTGTTTCTATCTTTTTCCTTTGTTTGCCTTTCAATGTATCCTTCCCTTTACGTCTTTCATTTTTGTGTACAATAAAGCGTTCAACGTACAGAAGCATGTGGGAGTACAAAGACCGCTACAGTTTCGAAGTCCGTGTTGGACATTGAAGTCTCATACCTACAAGGATCGGCTCATCTCTCTGCTGCTCAGTCTATTGAATTATTGTACAAAATGGATGTCAAGTCGCTGAAAGGTGCCAGGGCTAAGAAGCTGGGAAACCTGACCAGGATCAGGAGACGTGCCTTCATCATCATCGATGCAAAGGGAAGCCGCACCCAGCTAAGTGAGCTATTGAAGGATCTGGATCAGGCCTTGGAGGCAATTCAGGAGGTGAATGAGCAGTATGTGTCATTGCTGACAGAAGACGTGGAGCTCGAATCAGCTGCAGTGTACATGAAGGATGTAGAGAAACAATATGAGGACGCTGTTAGCAGAATCGAAGAGCATTTGATCAGCCGGAAGGACGAGGCACCATCTGTGGCATCTGGCAGCCATGTCTCCAATTCCAAGTCCACGGCATCTGACAGAGCCAGGATTGCAGCAAAGGTAAAGCGTCTTGAAGCTGAGCAACTTGGACAACGGCTGGAGTTGCAAAAGCAAGAACAGGAAATACAGAGGAAACTTCAGCTACAGGCGGCAGAGGACGCCAGAGCAGCTGCTGAACTCGAGGCCCAGCTTCTGTGCGCCGCAGAGACTGGGGATGATCTTAACAGGGATCGGATGGATGACTTTGTTGGAGAACCCGCGGCTCAGCTTCCCACTGACTGTCCTGGGCTGGATCGTGGCTCTGCTGTGGAACCTGCGACACTGGGTTCAGACCTCCCCCATTGTCTCAATGTACCACGTGATCGTTCTGAACGTCCCCATCCTGATCAGTGTCCTGTTACAGCTGGTGTAGCTGACGCTGCTGTGACCAGTGCTGGTGTCAATGTACCCACTCGGAATGGGAATGAGCTTACCACTGATGGAGCCAACCAGCATCCAGGTGCTTCTCAACTACAAACCCGTGGTGTTTCAGAACCACTGCTTCACTGTGCCCTTCCCCGACTCACACTTCCGAAGTTTGATGGTAATCCGGGAGAGTGGGTGAAGTGGTTTGCGCTCTTTCGCACCCTGGTACATGATCAGGAGATGCTGACGCCCACTGAAAAGATGATTCATCTTCAGTCTGCAGTAACCGGATTGGCGCAACAGACCATAAAGGGGCTGCTGTATGATGGGAATTTGTACGGTGAGGCGATCAAGATGCTCCAGGAAAGATTCGGCAGACAGGAGGACATTGTGAGCTCAACTCTGGAGAAGGTGTTTGCATGTCCCTCTCCTTCTCTGCAGGACCCGATCAGCCTAGAAAGATTCCAGTCCACAATCCATTGCGCCATAGCTGTGTTTGAAAGTATGAAATACGATGGGGACCTGAACAGTTTTGAGAATCTGAGGCGTGTCGTGCAAAAGCTGCCTTCAGATCTCATGAAAAGGTGGAGTGAACATGTTCTGAGTCTCGAGCCTGCAAGACCCAGTCTTCTGCACCTGGATTCCTGGTTGCGCAGGCAAGTCAGGATAGCCCTGAACTATGCTGCTGTCTCGAAGCAGCCTGGCAGGCAGCCAACAGGAAGAAGTGCCAACGAGGGGAGGAAACAAGGAGGCGCCATGGAACGGACAGTCCAGCGAACGGCACTGGTGACGGAGGCTCAGCACATGTCGGGCAAGGTCTGCATCTGCTGTGAAGCTCTCCATGATGTAACAACCTGTCCCACGTTCCTCAGCAAGCCTGTGGACGAGAAAGCCATCCTTGTCTCCAAGTCCGGAGCATGCTTCTTCTGCCTGAGGAAAGGTCATGCAGTCAGACATTGTCGTTTTGCAAAACGATGTAACATCGAGGGTTGCAAGATGAAGCACCACAGGCTGCTGCATGGCAGCAAGAGGGTCGGCGTTCAGTCCAGTAGCCAGGTGCCAGGCTCTGAGCTGGACGGACAGCGAGTGGTTGCTGCCGCATCTCTGGGTGGCAAGCCTGTAACAACTCTCCTGCAGGTGGTGCAGGTCACTATTGTCGGCAAAGGTGGTAAGACCAGGAAGGTGTGTGCGCTCCTTGATCCTGGCTCTCAGACGTCCCTGGTTGCAGAGGATGTTGTTGAAGAACTTGGTCTGGAGGGAGAGCAGCAGACACTTCGGCTGCGAAACGTGGAAGGCAGTGGCTCCCAGCAGAGGACGAGGAGGTTGCAGTTGCAGCTGATCACTGACGGAGATGAAGGCTACGCAGTCGTAGTGCCGGAAGCCTTCTCAGTGAAGGAAATCAATCTGACGGTGCCTCACTTCCCAGTGAAGCACTGGCATCATGTCCAGGGCCTGAAGCTACCGGACTGCCGTGGACGGAAGGTAGAGCTCCTCTTAGGGGCTAACGTCATCGAGGCAGTTCTCCAGCTCGAGGTGAGGACAGGAAACCCAGGGGACCCTGTAGCAATCAGGACTGTCTTCGGTTGGACGCTCACCGGATCTGTGGCTGAGCTTGTTCCCAGACAGGTGCGAGATGTGATGTTGATTCATCGGGCCACTGAGGAATCGGATCTTTGTGATGCTGTGAAGGATTTCTGGGCTACTGAGTCGTTCGGCAGTATGTTTGAAGGGCAAGTGTCTCGTTCACGTGATGACATCCGAGCGCAGGCTACTCTCAACGAGATGACTAAGCTGCGAGATGGTCACTATGAGGTCGGATTGCTGTGGAAGAAAGACGGCGTGAAGATGCCTGACAACAGGAAGATGGCCGAGAGAAGACTGCAATCGTTGGAGAGGAGCCTGTCTCGTGACCCAGCAAAAGCTGCCGCTTATGAAGACGTTCTGATGGGCTATGTGACGAAGAACTACGCCCGCAAAGTGTCACCGGAGGAGCTGGCCAGGCCCAGCGAAAAGAGATGGCTGCTCCCCCATCACGCGGTAAGCAACCCGAACAAGTCGAAAGTCCGCGTAGTGTTCGACGCCGCTGCCCGCTGTGAAGGAATCTCCCTCAACGATGCCCTCATCACCGGCCCTGATCTCCTGCAAAGTCTGGTTGGTGTTCTGATCAGGTTCAGACAGGAGAGAGTGGCGCTCGTGGCCGATGTGGAAGCAATGTTCCACCAAGTGCGGGTGAGAGTGGAGGACCAGCCGGCGCTGAGCTTCTTGTGGCGGCACATGGATAGGAGCAGGCCTCCAGATACATATCAAATGATGGTCGTCATATTTGGCGCCCGATGTAGCCCGACCCTGGCCAACTACGCTCTACGAAGAACGGCGGAGGACCACAAGGAGGACACAGATGAGTCGAGAGCCACTGTTGAATCTGTCAAGCGCAACTTCTACATGGATGACCTGCTTGTTTCGGTTCCAGATGTAGAACAGGCGAGGAAGATGCGTACGAACGTGACTGAGCTGGTGGCCAAGGGCGGTTTCCGTTTGACGAAGTGGACCACGAACAAACCAGAAGCTCTCCAAGGTGTCCCAGCTGATGAAATGAGTGCATCCGGGCTCGACTTGGCGCATCTCGGCCAGGGCACCCAGCGTGCCCTAGGATGCGTCTGGAGGCCTGGTAGCGATGTTCTCGGCGTGAAGGTAACAGACATGGACGTCCCAGCTACCAAGCGTGGCGTTCTAAGAAGACTGTCTATGGTCTTCGACCCTATTGGAATCGTCTCTCCGTTTGTTCTCAGGGCCAAGCTGCTCGTCCAGCACCTCTGGAAGCTGAAGCTCGACTGGGACTGCCAGCTGAGCGGAGAAGAACTCCTGGCTTGGGAGAACTGGTTGTCGGAGATGCCTCATCTCGAGACCATCGAGATCCAGCGATGCTACGCGGCTGATGTTCCGCCGGATGGTGAAGTCACAGGTCGAGAGCTTCACATCTTTTGTGACGCATCCCAAAAGGCCTTTGGTGCAGTCGCATACCTCAGGATGTCATGTGCCGACGGCACGAACACCACCTCCTTCATCATGTCACGGACTCGTCTCGCTCCCTTGAAGCAATTGACAATTGTTCGCCTTGAGCTGCAGGCTGCTGTGTTGGGGGTGAGGCTGGCCAGCTTCGTCAAAGGAGAGCTCACGTGCAGTCTCGATGAAATCTTCCTGTGGACCGACAGCTCTGTGGTGCTGCGGTTCTTAAGAAACGAAAGTCGTCGGTTCCACACTTTCGTCGCCAACAGGATCGCAGAAATACAAGATTCATCAGAGACTGAGCAGTGGCACCATGTTCCCGGTGAGCTCAATCCAGCAGACGTTTGCTCTCGCGGGATGTCAGGCCCGGACCTCCAGACATGCTCACTGTGGTGGTCGGGCCCCGAGTTCTTGACCAAGGATCGTGAAGAATGGCCTCCGGAACGCGTCACGTCAACGCAAAGCGCAGAAGACGCAGAAATGAAGACTCCAAATGAAGCAGTATTTGCAGCACAGAGCAGCGAGGGGCCACTGGTGGATCCTTCCCGGTACTCATCGTGGGTGAAGTACAAACGCACGGTGGCTTGGGTGCTGCGATTCTGCGAGAACGCCAGGCGGAGTAAAGACAGCCGTGTAAGTGGAGCTCTTACGTCGGCTGAGGTCCAGTCAGCTGAGGTTTTCGTCCTCAGAGAGCTCCAACGGGCGGCGTACCATGCCGAACTGCAAGCTGTCGCCAGTGGATCTCGGCTGCCGAAGGACAGCACGCTTCTCCATCTCTCCCCGTATGTCGACGAGCGGGGACTGCTCCGAGCGAGGGGACGTCTCCGTAATGCCCCACTGGCTGAGACCTGTCGTCATCCTCTCCTCATCAGTAAGAACGATGACGTGATCAGACTGATCGTCACCGATGTCCACAGACGGGCACTGCACGCAGGTCTGGAGCAGACGCTCAGTGAGCTGCGGCTTCTCTACTGGATACCCAAGGCAAGATCAGTAACAAGAAAGCTCATCTACAACTGTGCGTACTGCAGGAGGAGAAGTGCGCAGCCCCAGACTCCAATGATGGCGGACCTACCGGCGAGTCGGTTTGACATGTCTCGACCGTTTGCATGTGTTGGCCTTGACTACTGTGGCCCACTCCCCGTTCGGAAGTTCCGCAAGACCGAAAAGCGCTATGTGCTGCTTATCACCTGCCTGGCGACGCGTGCATTGCACTTGGAGCTTGTGAGTTCGATGGATACAGATGGGTTCCTCATGGCCCTCCGGCGCTTCTTTGCCCGCCGGGGGCGTCCGCGTGTCATTTGGTCAGATAATGGCACGAATCTGGTCGCAGGTGAAAAGGAGCTCAGGAGTTGTCTGGATGCGTGGAATCAGGCACAGATCACCGACGAACTTAGTCAGCGACACATCGAGTGGCGTTTTAACCCGCCCACCGCCAGCCACATGGGCGGTGTTTGGGAGAGGTTGGTGGCGATGGTCAAACGCGCTTTGCGAGTGGTGTTGGGCAACCAGTGTGTCAGTGAGGACGTACTGCACACCGCGCTGGTGGAAGTAGAATTCACCATCAACAGTCGCCCACTCACTTACGTGAGTTCGGACATCAATGACCCTGAGCCTCTCACGCCCAACCATTTCGTTCTGGGTAGCCCTCAGGCTGCCTTTCCTCCAGGGATGTTCACTGATGGTGATGCGTTGGGTCGAGGGAAATGGCGGCAATCCCAGGTTCTGGCCAACCAGCTCTGGCGCCGCTGGCAGCGTGAATACCTGCCCATGCTCATCCAGAGGAAGAAATGGGTTCATGAAGATCGCGATCTGCAAGTTGGAGATATCGTGCTCATGGTCGAGCAGGGGTCACCACGAGGATACTGGCCGCTGGCCAAGGTCACGGAAGTTTCTCCGGGAGATGATGGTCGTGTCCGGACTGTGACAGTGCAGACCTCCAGCGGATCTACCTATCGACGACCAGCGAACAAGATATGCTTTTTAGAAAGCTGCGTTCAGGGAAGAAACTGAGCAAACGGCCGTGAAAGCGAGAATGAAAGTCAAGAAGAGTGAAAGTTCTGTTGCTAGGCGCTTTTATCCTAGCCTTATTCAAGTACCGTCCTGGCCCCTGTCTTACCTGTTAAGCAGTACCTCATCCATTGGCACTGACACGATGCGCCCAGCGTGCTGCTCGATGCTCGACCTGGAGAAGGCTCGGGCTGCTGACGTACGGCATGGCCGCGTCCTGGAGCTGAGGGGTGGCGGCGTGCTGCGCTGGACCTGTGATCGGCTGTGTGCTCGGGACTGGTTCCGAGACCTGGCCCGCCGCCGACGGGGTCTCCTGAGCTCTGGCCGCTGAGCGGAGGATGCGAGACTGGGGAGAGACGGCGTCTGCCTGGCGCGGACGACTGCGTGAGCTGCTCGGACGAACGCTGAGTGGAGAGGTGTAGCGGATGATGGACTCTATAGTTTTGCGCACGGTTTCGGCGTTACGGTTCGCCGGCGCGGTGCGTCTGTACGATATCTGAGTGACTGGCCGGAGAACGGGCAGGTGATAGTGCATGGAGGCTGAGTGCTGGATACTGAAGCTGCTGTACGATATCTGCTTTTCTCTGAAATGTGCAGTGCTTGACGCGTGCGTTCGTGCGTATTTTGAGTTAATGTGTCTAGCGTAAGTTTTCGGCGGTCATTGAGCTGAACGCTGAATAATCAACGATGGTCGCTCCAGTTAGTGTTCTCCTCAGGCCTAGGATAAGCACTGGGGGGAGTGTTGCGACCACCGAGTCTTACTGAGGTTTCTCTTTTCTCAGGTCTTGCACTGACAGACATGTATAAATATTAACTGTGTGTGCCTGAACTGACAAGCTGGCATGATGAGATGGCATGCTGAGACTGCTATGCTGAGACTGGCATGAACTGGGAGCGGAAACTTCGGTAACGCTTTACTTTGCATATGATCTACTTTTTCATATGTTTGCTTATCATTGGTTGTTGCCATCTTCATTTGCTCTTTGTCTGTCAATGGTCATCGCTCATTAACTTCTGTGTCATTGACTGTGTTATGTGCTGTCTCTGCTTGCAGAAACCCCACTTTGCTGCATGCGCGCAAGGCTGTGTTTTGTGCCATTCCTTCTGTTTCTATCTTTTTCCTTTGTTTGCCTTTCAATGTATCCTTCCCTTTACGTCTTTCATTTTTGTGTACAATAAAGCGTTCAACGTACAGAAGCATGTGGGAGTACAAAGACCGCTACAATATGTTTAATGTTACCACCCTGTCGCGTTTTTTGCGTGTGAATAAAAAACCGCGGCGCGTAGCGCCGCGCCGCTTGGGGTAGCTTTTGGTACATCAATTTTGGACAATGTGTGAAATTTTTGACCCCAGGTCATGTCAGGTAAGGTCACCAGGTCAAGTTAACTGACCAAGCCTAAAAAAAGTTTGCAATCATGTCCAGCCTGCAGTGTTTGTCAGAAAGGTTTCAAACTTGGTGGGTTGCATGCTGTTATGGGCGCCTACAATTTATATATCTCGGATTTTTTATATCCGTGACCTAAGGTCAGGTCAGTGGCGAAACCTTTCCATTACAAGTCAATGGAGAAAAATGAAAATGCCTCTAGATCCGTGTGTACGCATCGGAACAGTCCAAATATTTCAGAATCACAATGATTTAGTCCACTCGTGATGACCAAGGTGTCATTTTTGCTGATAGCCTCTAGACAGGTCATCCGAGGTCACTTGAGGCTACAAACAGTTTTTTGCCAATAACTCGCGATTGGAAAGAGATAGAACGCTGGGGATGGTCTCATTGTGTTTGCCTTGTTGAGACGCATCGACTGATATGCAACATGACCTTTTCCGGTAAGGTCATGACCTTGACCTGAGGTCAAATTTTCAACTTGACCTTTCAGGGTCAAATTATAGTTCATTCGACGTGTCTCGGCGAGAGGAACACGATTCTGGCAATAGAAATGTCGTGGCTTTTTGTAGTCGAAAGTTATTGTCGAAAAACACTTTTCGTAAAAACAGCTATTTTTGGACTTTTTGCCCTCTGGAGGCCAAACCGTTGACCTGAGGTCAATATTGATGATGACCTTTTCAAAAGAAGAGTTCAAAAGCTATCGATTGCTCTTCCCTGCGTTATTCTAGCTACCATAGTTCCTGAGATAGCGGCATGTTTTCTGAAAAATATAATGACAATTGGCAAATTTTGACCTTTGATGACCTCTGGTGACCCCAATATTGCTCTAAGGTGAAAAATGACTGAAATACTTTCAAACGTACGCATTGAGAGCTATCGACTGCTTTTTACCGCGTCTTTCTAGCCCTCTTAGTTTTTGAGTTAGAGGTGGGTGGTAACATATGCCCCCCCTCACTAGGGCGAAGTTGGCTGAGACCGCCACTGGGGCGCGGGTTAAAGGAAAAGGGCCACCTTCGTGAAATATGAAGATATCGTTGTTTTTCATTTTGACATTATTATTTTTCATTTTCTTTTTAAAACTGGTGCCAGAAGTGCACAATTCGCTAAAAAGTAATTAAAACTATTTAACATATTGGTACTATGTTGATACTCTCTACGGCACCTACTGTATGATGGCATAGCGATGACGTCACACTCAAGCCAATCAGCGTTCAGAAGACAGACTCGTCGGATTGTGTCAGATAAGCTGATTGGTTAAAGCTGAGCTGGTTGGAGCTGATTGGTAAAAAACCAAAGCCTCGCCGCGGGTGGCTGTATTGTCGGATAAGAACGCATTCCTGGGATAAGGACGCATTCCTGGCGTATTTTCTTTTAAAATTGCCGATAACTACGAATGGAGGCCGAAATCGGCCGTAAGGAGGTAGACAGGATGGTTTTCGGACACGGGCTACAAGATGGCTATCTCAGTTTCAATCCCCATGTTAAAGGTGGCCCTTTTCCTTTAATAAAGTCAAAGAAAAGATAGCTGTACATCAATGAGTGTAATTTTTCAAGCAATCGAAAGTACAACAAAACAAAGAAAAAGAAGTCCACGGGTTTATTTCTATGAATAACACCTACCCACAAAAAACCCTTATTCACCTTTTCAATCACACAAAACACAAAAGAGCACCCATCGAATGGAGTAATCAAGGAACAGAGAAATCTCGGAAGTCTCCAATCTTGATGTTGAAAAAATAAAATTACGTCATCAATGATAAACGATCGTCTGCGATTTCTTCTTGTTTTGTTGCAGTGGCGGCGGAAGGTATTCTAGGATAGGGGTGCAAACGATATTGAAGCGCCCCTTCCCGCTGGGCGCCCCTTACCATATACAAGGTTGTAGTAACACAAACAGTGAAGAGACGTTTGACAATGTACCTGTTAACACGTTCAGAATTACAGTTTTTATGTAACGAGAAATAGTTAGGTACATTCCATAGCGTAAATGTAACCTTCATAATGTTCGTTTAGAAACAACCTCATCACCATATCAAGTTGGTTAGAGCTGCGAAATTTCGATCGTTAGAACCCGGTTTCTAATCGCTCCGACGCGACGCAATGATACCCGAGACTCTATGCCGAGACTAAGAGACTTCTAGTTACTGCTAACGTGAAGTGAATAGGCTGAGGTTTATGGTGGGAGTAGCAGGTTTGTGACGCCCCAGTGAAATAAATGCCGCCTTTCAACACCGATAGGAGCCCGAAATGAATGAATACAGGCAATCAACGCTGGTAGGTGTCCGGGCGTCCCAGCGAAATGAATGCATCTATTACCACCCAGGGGTGCCCCCATTTCAAACTAATACGACGGCGACGCCTCCACACCGATAGGGGCCCATCCCAGGGGAACGGAATAAATGCCGCCCCCTCATTGCCGGGCGCCCCAGGAGAATGAATGTTACACATCAACACCAATATGCCTCCCAGTGAAATGAATTATGAATGTCGCCTTTCGACGCCGGTAGGCGCCCCAGACACCGTGGATTTACTGCCGCCTTAAAACACCGATAGGCACCTCAGTGAAGCGAATGCCGGCCCCGATAAGCGCCCCGGATGAATAAATACCACCCGTCAACGCCGATAGGCGCCTCAGTGAAATTAATGCCGCCCCAATCTCCGATAGGCGCCCCAGGTGATACATGTCGCCCACCAACACCAACGGGTGCCCCATTGAAATGAATACCGCCCTTCAACACTGGCAGACGCCCCAGTGGAATGAATGCCGCCCCACAATGCCGATGGCCGTCCCTGCACTGGAAAATCAGTTTCGCCCCTATACAGGCGCCCATAGAAGTTTGCAGAGTGCTATTCCTGGTCATAATCATCTCCCCAGTAAAAAAAAAAAAAACGCAAAATACGCCCTAGCACTAGGGGTGTAACCACCCATACGGACAGTGCAATTTTACAGGCCCCAATCTCGGACCTCCCTTAACATTCATATGTTGTAAACGGCAAACCGCCCCCGATAAATGTTACACAAACTAATTTCCTCTCGCATATCGGCCATCAGGCGCCCCTTTTTGTCGCATGGAGCCTGCAACGCTATAAGCCCTCATATGTTCGTGTTGGCGTTCGGAGGCTATCGCCTTCAAAGACGTCTCCATAAATGTTTCTTTTTCGTCCCACACACAGGCCCACACACTCTTTCGCATGCAGGCGCCCCTCTTCCGCATGGCGCGCTTCTTGAGTGGCTGCGCCCTCCTAGCCTTTATCGCCTGGCAAGATTATATTCGACAGGGTCGGCAGCATCTGCCTTTATTTCAGATAAGGATGCCCTCCACTCTTCAGCATATCAAAAGATACTTTTCTCACGTCATTGCCACCCTCTTCGTGTCACAAGTGCCTTTATCAGTTGCGGTGTCGCACTGCTCAGCTTTATGGCTGCCGCACCTCTTAACTTCCTGCCTCCTCTACAGATTTTCGAGGCGCCCCTTTCCATAACTTTAGGGTGCAGCTGCCCCCCTTGCCCCCCTGCTTCCGCCGCCACTGTTTTGTTGAATTTCTTTGCTGTAAAAATTAGATGGTCATATTGAAAATAAATTTTGTCAAAAGCTTTGTGAGCTATTCGTATCTTTATTTATATCTTATTATACTGATCATAGATATACACTTGCTAGTGAAACAGAAACAATGATGTCATGATTCTGCAAGTATCATAAGTCGGGGTAAAAGCCTTGGGGTAAAATGCCTATTTGAATCTTAGGCGAAACCGGCGCGGATAAAGTGTAAAAGGTGGTAAAAGTTCGGGGATGAATATTCAGGGACAAAGAGTATGGACAAAGTCACATGAAGACAGAGAATTGCGATGGATGAACAACTCTACCGTTGAGGAATGTTGCATTACCTACTCTAATTGATTCCTTCTTCCCTTCTTCGCAGAATCGCAGTAGCGGACTATGGCAGGCATGGAGCTGGAGGTAGCGCCGTTACGGAGCTTCGATGACTTCCTGGCACACTCGGCTCGCTTCCAAATTCCCAACTACCGGGAACCGGAGAAATGGACGAACCGTGTTCTGCAGAACCTGCTCTACTACCAGACCAACTACTTTGTCTCAGCGGTGATCATCTTCACCCTCGTGGGGTAAGTGCTGCAGCTATATCACCTGGCGATAAAACCAGTATAACGCTTTTTGGGGCGACTAACGGAGCGAGCGAGAGGATGGGCCTTGCACGTGCGAAATTGCGAGGCGGTACCTCCAACTGACTTGTGCACAGCACCCTACTAACCGGTCTCTAGCGATGTGCCAAATTTGAGCACAATCGGCCCAGCCGTTCTCGAGATCTGGAAGCGGCACCCTGCACGTGCGCACGTGCAAAGTGGGTCCCAACTGACTTGTGCACGGCACCCTACTAACCGGTCCCTAACCGTGTACCAAATTTGAGCGCAATCGATCCAGCCGTTCTCGAGATCTGGAATCGACCCCTGCACGTGCGCACGTGCAGCAGCACCCCAACTGTGGCACATGCAAATGCATTGCCTAGTGGGTGCCTACTGCCTACCTACATGCCAACTTTCAGCGTAATCGGCCCAGTAGTTACCGAGACATTGCAACTATTACAAAACTGGCACCTCTAACGAACGTTTTGCACGTGGCACGTGCATAAGGGGTCACCCACATGCACCGGGAGTAGTTCAATACTTGGTAGAAGGAATTAAGCTACCCTAAAAGAATTACCGCATGTAAATCGGTCAAGTGGTTGCTGAGATATAAGCGTTGTAAAAGCGTGACCACGGCCGGCCGCTCATATAACTAAGAAATTTCCTTTATTTTACGTAAGACTCCGCTCGCTTCGCTCGCTCCGTAATTAATGGTGTGAAGTAGCGAGGAACGAGCATTGTTTTTACTTCTTCGAGGAAAAGATCAATTGATTCTTCGCGTATTTATTCTCACCTGGCGCTAAGTCTGCTATAAAGGGAGCAGATTGTACCATGCTGATTGTGCTGCATCTTATTGAAATGGTTTCGATGCTGGCTGCTGGTGACTCCTTACATAGATGTGTATTGTATATAAGTAGGTACTCTTTTATATCTCGTTTGACCCACTGTGGCTCTCGCCGTATCATACTTCGCAGTATCGATGTTTTTATACAGAATCCCGATCACTTCTGGCCGCTCACTGCACTCTATCCGTGAATAATAGGACCACTGATGTACTGCTGACCGTCCCCGCCCCAGGATGATAAGTGAACGGCAGACCATCCGCCCCAGGGTGATGGTGGATCGTTGACCGCTGTCCGTTGACCGCTGACCGCATGGGTGTACCGTTGTCGCTGACCGTCCCCACCCCAGGGTGATGCACCCGCAGCAGTTTCTGTGCGGGATGGCGGCGCTGGCCGTGCTGTTTGCCGTCTTCTACTATGTCACCAACCGGAAGGCGATGGCGTCCCGCTTCCGGCGCGACCACCCGCTGCTCAGCCTGACCATCATCCTCACCGGCGGCTACTTCATCATGGCCATGCTCGGATCCGTGCTGGTCTTCCTGCTCGGCATCTGCCTGCCGCTCTTCGGTAAATGACGGCATTCCCATACACACACATACACGCACGCATACACACACCGGTGTTTCTGCTCGGCGTCTGCCTGCCGCTGTCTGGTAAATGACGTCACACGCTAAATACACCGGTGTTTCTGCTCAGTGCTCGGGGTCTGCCTGCCGCTGTCTGGTAAATGACGTCACACGCTAAATACACCGGTGTTTTTGTTCGTCGTCTAACTGCTGCGCTTCGGCAAACGACGCCACTCCTATACTATGCATATAACACAAACGTTTACGGCACACGCTCATTTGAGAGGACGTGTATAGTATATACATCACTCATTAGGGGTTGGATGTAATTGGCTTGTCTCTTTGTTTCCGCGAAATGTGTTTCCTGTTTACGGAATCCTCGCTTAACCCGCGCGGAGCTGGGGGGATAAGTTTTACCCCCCTTGCGAATATTTGCAATATCTCAAACACGACGGCGCGCAGCGCCGCCAAACTTTCAGTACCTTTTCTTACATCAATTTGACACGTTCCCTTAAAATTTTAGGCGAAATCCTTTGGATTTTTTTTTTTTTGAGAAGATGACGTTTTAGTGACGTCATGTTCGCCATTTTCGTCTCAAAAACGGCAAAATTTCAAACGCCGCTAACATCTTCATTTTCAAGGGAATCAAGACGTAACAGAAAAAGGTTATACGTGATTCTACTTTGTCTATCAAATGGCTATCTCGGTTTTTTGATATTTTTTTATTTTGGCCCAAACTTTTTCAAAAAGCTGACTTTTTTTTGGAAAATAATTATAAAATCCAAAATTTTGCGTGTATCGGAAAAACCGGAATATATGTCAGAGAAGTGGTCCATGTGCACCTACATACCAATTTTTAGAAGAATCGGTTAAAAAATGTGGGAGTTATTCAAAATTTTATGACGTCACGACAAACAAATTTTTTGAAAAATGATTTTTTTTGGAAGTTCTTTACCTCGTACGGAAACAAAAATAGCGCCATTCGATTCGCCGTGGAAAACTGCATCAGATAGACACCTTTTAGGCCTTAACAACCAACTTCAAAATTTGACCTCACTTGACCTGACCTTGACCTGACCTCGACCTGAAATTCATCCAGATGTGGTCCATATCACCTATTGAGTGTGCCTATTGAATTCTATGAATAAAATGACCCATAAAACATGTGTCGCACATGCCCTTTTCTATATTTTGTGACCTGACCTAACCTGACCTGACCTTGACCTTGACCTCTGAATGATATTTTATGCAATGAATATTGTCTTGGTAGCCTAAGAACACGTTTTGGGCAATCAGTCTCAGTCCATGACTCCATTCTTCGGCAACTACGGTGCAAGGCCCATACTGTAGAAATTTGCAATTTGTACCCTTGACCTGACCTTGACCTTGACCTCAAACTTTAAATTAAGTACATATTTTTAGTTGTTTCGTTATGAGATCTTTCGATTGGCGTTTGAATTTTCCAAATTGGACCATTGGTTCGGGAGATAACAGCCCCCCCCCCCCAGCCCCGCGCGTTCGGCTGGAGACCCCAGCCCCGCGCGGGTTAATAGTTACGATGTTTGATGACTGTCAAAAGGCTAGTGAAGCATATGCCATTGGGGGTACTGGCACGAGACTTCATGAAGTCAAGTCATCGCATACCATCACAGATGTTGATGTGCGAAATCGTCTGGGCCTTTCTGATGGTATTTATTTCACCGAACGGAATGTCTCAGTGTTGAGTGTAGGTAGTGGCGCTTTGACGGCCGGCCACCGTCCCTCCGTCCGGCTATGCCGGCTGTGGTGGCCACCACTCCCTCCGCTGACCGGCCGTGCCCCCTCCTCCCCCCCGTCTACTCCCAGCGGTGCTGCTACACGCCTCGCTGCGACTCCGCAGCATCAGGAACAAGCTCACCAACCGCATGGAGTCGGTCGGCATGCGCCGCTCGCCGATGGGACTCTTTCTTGACGAGCTGGGGATGGAAAGCGACAAAGTTGTCATGTGAGCAGGCTCAGCGTCACCTGAGAGATGGCTTGAGGTCATGTGTGGAGTTTTGCGTCGCTTCTTGCCAGTTGGTGCTAGAGCAATTGAGACGCTTTATTGCTGAATGCGAACGCTGAAATCTGATTTGCTGCTAACTACTTGGGGGGTTGTATGTGTGCCATAATTTACCGGTTTAGGGTTATGCTATCGGGCTTATATAGCCGAGTTGAAGGACAGAGGCATGCATTTTGGTCGTATTTGTTTTATTGCGTATGAAGCTGAGTGTTTATTCCTTCTACTGTTGATTCCAAAGTCATTCCAGAAATGGCCATGATATTTTCTAGTGTGCTGTGACATATCTTATTTATATTCGCATGTGCATTGCGCGTATCGGTGATGCCAAAAGAATGTTATTTACGGTTGGCTGGCCAGTGCTCCTGTGAGCTCGCCATTGGTTCGACGGCCAGTGTTTGCGTGTGTTCGGTATGATCAGACGTTGGGACTGGTGGGCAGCTGTTTACTAGTGATGAGATGTCCAGGCGCTTGCGCTGGTCATCGGGAATAGGAATATCCTGATGTAGCCTGGTCTACCGGAGAGGAGCATGTCTGTGTAGAAGGAAGCAATACCAACTGATTTGTAAAGGCAGCGTTATGTTATGGGCCTGTGCCGTGTCATCGTACTTTGTCTATTACTAGTACTTTGTCTATATTGAGCGCGACGTTTTGAACGAGGGATAGTGAACTCTCCGAATTCTTATGAACGGTGGCTTATTCCATTTTTGCTTACGGTAGTAATACAAAACTCGTGATGAACTCCAATTTCTATCGTGTTGGACCATTAATCTTTCTTATGGTTGATTTCTCCCGATCTGTGTGCGTTGGGGGCGCGATGGATGCTCGCTCGATCTCCGACTCCGCCTTCCGTCGTGCGCCAGCCAGAAAAAGGGCACATCCAATAGAAGTGAGGACACTGCCTGATTTTCACCGACCTGAAGCCAATTTTTGCGAGGTACGCTCGAGGTTCGTCAGGCACTCATCTCAGTTTTCATCAATCTATGTTTGTTTGTTTGTTTGTTTGTTTGTTGGGTTAGGCCCTTTCGGTATAAAGAGACCATTTCAGAGCCGGAAGGATGATTGGAATCAGGGGGAGACATTGGTCTGGGCAGGCACCCTAGTGAGTCACCGGGGCTGAACCCGTCCAGAGGACAGGCCACCCAGCCCCAAGGTACTCACTGCACCCGGCTACGGGGTGCGTTCCCTCGGGAGCAGCGGCCAGCGCCCAGCGGTGCCGCTCCAAGGGAGCAGCCCGCATGAGATAAGTTGCCTGTCCAGCCCGGAGGGGGTTGCGGCGTGGAGGAGGATTTCAGTATCCTGAGGATAGAAGCACGGAACGGGGTGATCAATCTATTTTGTTTGTTTTGTTGGGTTAGGCCCTTTCGGTCTGACAAGACCATTGCAGAGCCGGAAGGATGATAGGAATTAGGGGGAGACATTGGTATGGGCAGGCACCCTAGTGAGTCGCCGGGGCTGAGCCCGTCCAGAGGACAGGCCACCCAGCCCCAAGGCACTCACTGCACCCGGCTACGGGGTGCGCTCCCTCGGGAGCAGCGATGCCGCTCCAAGGGAGCAGCCCGCATGAGATAAAGTTGCCTGCCCAGCCCGGAAGGGGTTGTGGCGTGGAGGAGAAGGACTTCAGTAATCAGTATCCTGAGGATAGAAGCACGGACAGGTGATCAATCTATTGATACTCATCCGTGGTGGCCGAGCCCGCTACGAAGTTTGGTGCACAGGTTCGGAGCCTTGTGAAAGCGACTTTCTCACCACCGGCCCATCCATCTTACGGGCTCGCGATTCTATAAGACTGAAAGAAGTCGCAGCTAGTAGCTTTCCATATCTAATTTCAGAGGGAGCCGTATTTAATCCACCTATACATCGTCTCGTTCGATGAAGAGGAAGCTGGTCCGTGGGTCTGCGGTTTGCGACAGCCTCTGCCATCTGGCGGTGATGAGAGTAACTAGTAGTCCGGAGGGCTGTTCACGGGCCCTGTGTGCGGTCGGACCGCACACAGCCTCGAAGCTCCGCCCACTTCGTCTCTACGTCAGCCTTCCGTCACCGCACACAGCGATCGCTGTGGCCGGTCGGGACTGGCCACAGCGGACCGTCCACCGCACGCAGCCGTGACGTCAGAGCCGCCTACCCATCCCCTACCCCCACGCCTGCTGGACGCACCGCACACAGCGCACGCAGCAGTGTGCGGTGCCCGTGAACACCCCTCGGGTCCGCGGCTTGACCGGAAAGGAACCGTTTCCGTGGAGGAAACAGAAACAGAAACTGCAGAGCGCGAGAGCGGGCCCGTGCGCGGTGTGTCATCAAAGCCTGTCGCTGTGAAAGTGGGAGGCGTGGCTTACTTTGTTTATACAGTGGCAGGGTTGTAAGTAATCGAGATTGCATTGATTGCGATTTGATTCGAACTCGAGTCGTGTTTTGTTCTTTCTATTTACTTGTATACCTTTTATCGTCTTGGGATTACAATTCGATGTCATGTATTGCTGTTGGCGCTGTGGTGTGGATTGGGATCGAAAACTGATGGAACAGGCTTTTTATTGAAAATATCCTTGTAACATTTGACTTGTGTGCTCTTATAAAAAATAATTGTTTTGAACTGCTTTAGTGGGTAGTCTAGCACCATTCCTGTGAATCAGTAGGTTGAGGTGTGGATATTTTGCTGGAAAGCTAACCATGATGTGTGTTACAAACCATTGGGCTATTAAATTGAATATTGTTTGGTAAAATGATATTTATTCCGAAGCTTTAGATTTTTGGCACTATTAATAATTTACTTTCTCAGGTGATCAAGCTATTAGGGTGTGGCTAGATTCAACGTTTCCTGCTTTTCGTTCCAAAGATCCGTGAGCAGCATGAGCAGTGAGTGAGTATTAGAGAAGTTGCCAGCTGCATTTATTCTTAGTCCAAAGTCATCCATGAGATTTGCCAACCACACTAAATATGTTTTTTTTTGTTTGGGCCTGTCCAACTGGCAGATATGCCAATTAGGAGAGAGCACAGCTGCTTCTCCTCGTCCTAACCCTACCCCCAGGCTGCGGCTGAACTGGGAGCCTACCCCACACCTGGTGACACAGCCAGGGACAATGCCTGTGGAACGGGCAGAATCAGGAATTGAACCCGAAACCCGTCACTGCACGGCGCACGCACCGCGGGATGACACCTTAACCGACTGTGCTACCGGGCCGCATAATTGTGAAAAATATCACCCACCTTAATCAGATATCTTCTTGCACATCAATAGTTATTTTTTCATGTGGTTTCTAAAGTTTACTGCAAACTTTAAAGGAAAAATAGCCTGATTTGAAAGTAGAATTGAAAGTTGAAATAGTCTCAGTTCAGTTGTACTGAACTGGTTTGCTCTAATTGTCATTTTTAATTGGATTCTTGATTTTTTTTAGAGGTTTTTATATAACACCTACTGATGTTTTAAGTGTTTATTCAGCATTCACTTCTGCCCTAAAGTGCTCATGTCATTTCTCTACTGAGTGTATCTAAAACAAATTGAACAGAGGTAGGAGGGAAACCTTATCCATATGGCTTGGCAGAGGCTGTTGCCGTACTATTGCTGCTATTGCATTGCAGCCTGAATTGCAGCACTATGCTGTTATCACCTCACCATGCATCAGTGTTCTAAAATTGGATATTGGTTGGGTGTACCGATGAAGAAAAAAAATCTTAGGATGAAAAAAAAAGAAAGTAAATAACTGCAGTATTTTTGCAAAATGGTTTAATGCCAATTTTTATGCTAACTGATAAACCAGGATTTCATGTCAGGATCTTGACAGGGTGTGGAACAAAAGGATGTGGGTGCATCAACTGTCAAGTGACAAGTGAACTGGCTGTTGGGAATACATGAAACTCTTTTCAGAGATGAAGTAAAGTTGGTCATTCATATTTTAGAGATGAAAATATTTTCCCCATTAGGTGTGATTTGCCACCAAAAAGGCTGAAAAATGAAACACTGCCATGCATGGCTTATGTCCATGCATTGCATAGAATATAGATACAGAAATCAAAATTATCAAGTGTCAACAATGATGTTCTTATTTTTGTGAAGTTTTCTCTTTATTTTAAATCTTGCAAATAGAAGTTGTGAGGATTGTGTTATTTTGGTGCTCACTGCTCATGGTTGAGGTTCATAAAAAGCTTGGGATTATGATTGTAGTGTGCTCTTTAGTATTTCCCTCACCACTTTCCTCCAGCACAGCAGTGTAATTGGTAGTATGTGAGTGAGATTACCGTAATCTTGAGATTACCAGCTAATGAATAATGCCTGCACTACCAGCTTGGCTGTGCTAGTTTAACTTGTCGTAGCTGATGACCTATACAGCAATGTAGCAGTTATAGTTACCTATACCTAGCTTTTATCATAAATTACCTATTTAGAAAAGGTATTACAAATAAACATATGAATTGATAGCTCTCTCTTAGTGCTGTGTCACTAATTTGTCCTCAGTGTTGACCTGTGGTCATTTGCCATCCATATTGCAAACCATAAAAATTGCCATTTTTTGAAGACATATTTTTGTAGACATGCTTTTTTTGTAATGGCTTGATAAAAATGTTCAATCACATTTTGTTTAGTATCAGGGTACCTATTTCTCTTGTTGAGATGTGTCAGTTTAACTATTCAGCTGCAGTTGCATCTGCTTCATCTCAGCACCTGCAGTTCAGCTACACTACCATCGACTCATAAAGGAGAGGTTGCAAAATAGACCTGAACTTTGGTTAGGTCAGGACCTTGGGATGTATATGGCCAAGATTCCTGTTAATCTTATTGATGGGTGGATATTTTCAAAACAATTTCAGTGTCAGTGTAGTTATAGGGCAATTAACCCTCGCCCACAGTTTTTTTTTCGCGAAAGCTCCGAACACGCCGGCGGTAGAGAGCTGAAACTGGGCGTACCTCACCTTAGATTCAAGCCGGATCTTGTGACACCAACTGCATTTTCAGGTCAGGTCAGGTCACTGACCCATGGCGTCATAACTGAACCTCTGCACAGTCCCCAGGTGTCGCAAATTCGCAACGCCCTCAGTGCCAGAGGAATTTTCACAGGGAGATGAAACTTACAGGACGTAGTATCCTCCAGAGGTCTCACAACTTTAATATCTATGATTTTTCCTGAAGGTCACATGAGGTCTTGTCTGTCATGTGACCTCACCATTATGTGACCTCACTAGTCACTATTAGTATTATGAGTCCTGGGGAAAAATGAAAACTGCTATTTTGGCGCTGGGAACGATCTCAAACTACCTCAAGCACACGGAATCGTGATTTCATGCACTCCTTGCAAGGTCCGGTCCGATGCATCATATTTCGCGGGCTCTGCGACCGTTTTTCACTGCGAAGTTATCAAAAAACCGAACCCGTGACTTGGGCCACTTGACCTGACCTCAGAGGTTACCGGTTGACTTGAGACCCTAAAATCGGGTATCAGTTGCTGCGTTTGTAACGGCGCACACGCTTGTTTTTTCCGCGAGGCTCTAGCTCCATCAGGAGCGAAACGGCGAGATGGGGGGGGGGGGTCGTAAAGCCCCTTCCTCGGCCGACGCGTATGTAGAAAACCAACAGTTCCGGCGAGGGTTAAATTGCTGATGTGTTTTTGACTATCGGAAAACGGTGCTGCATCGGCCGAGCTGGACCGTATTCTAACTCGGCAATGTGCGGCGTAAGCTGATACCGTTTCGGCCCGGCGCTATTGTCGTGCAGCGCGCGTGTCGCGGGGTCGGCGGTAGCGTTCACTGGGCGGCTGTCACTCCCGTAGTTGCCCGGTCTGCCCCACCCCTCCCCCTCCCCCGTTTTACGAGAATGAGGCAGTCATATTTGTGTATGTATGAGTGTTGTATGATTATATTGTGTTGGGAGTTTGCAGCGGAATGCAGTCGGACTCGATGATGTGAACAGGCCGTGTGTAGGTCCATTGAAAGTGTCGCTCGTGGATGTAGAATCACGGAACGTGATTCGGGCTATTGTAACCGACTTCAAAGGATCGTTGCGTTGATTGCATTTTTAGCGCTGGTATTCTAATGCCACAGGTGCGTCCCTACGTCGTGACTAATTGAGGCGTCTTACCTTTTAAAAATCGTTTGTTACAAATAAGCCTTTATTATGTGGTAGTAAAAGGCTTACAACCTACCTCTTTTCCAGAACCAGACAATGGTATAACGAAACGCGAAGATGGCATTTTTTAAGAATCTGAAGTCTCTTTTTACTGGTGGCAGCGAGAGTGCCTCTAAGAAGCGGCGCGTGCTGCACAATGTGAAGGTCGGGATCGACCCGGAGGCCGTCTGGGAGCTCCAGGGCGAGCTCGGAGATGGCGCCTTCGGGAAGGTCTATAAGGTAGGTGCCGATCGTCAGACCTTTTTTTTATCCTGTGCTAGTTTTATTTTATGTAAGCTCTACTTCAATACACGCAGCTCGACGCGGCGTGTATTGAATGTCGTGATCGTGTCAGCTTTAGTTCATCGTCTATCACCACTTTTATGTATCATACTAGTATCAATAACTGTGTCACGCTATTCAGCCGTCATTCAAGCGACTGTTTTCCTATAATTCTCCTATGCTTTTACACTTATTTGATGCATATGAGCTGTTCATTTTCCTGTCTGTTTGATGTTTTTTTTTCTGGAACTAACTAGTCGTCTCCGATTCCGGTTTCTAATTTAAACGGTGGTTACCTATTGCATAACACGGTCACGTGACAAATATGAATGCCGCAAACTCAACTTTGCATGTGCGTTAGTCGTACCGATTTCCATTTATATGCCATAGCTGATCCTTCGTTCCCCTCTATGTACCTATGTATGTAGGAAGCGGGGCGTCGAAGTTTTGTTCCCTGTCCAGACTGTCGTTGTTTGCGTTTGGTGTTTCGATGTCGATCAATCGGGCCCGGTGTCGTTCCCTCCAGTCTAACCGCTCCGTTCAACGGGGTCAGGTCCTGCTTCCAGACTGACCTGTCTTGCCCCCCCCCCCCCCTCCGTAGGCGGTGCACCGTCAGTCGTTCCAAGTGGGCGCCGCCAAGGTGTGCGAAATGGCAGAGGACGACGAGCTCGACAACTTCATGGTCGAGATCGACATCCTTACAGAGATGGACCACAAGCACGTGGTCAGACTGCTGGACGCCTACCTGCAGAGAAAGCAGCTCTGGGTGAGTCGCACCGCTGCCCCTCCCTCTCCTCCCCTCCCGTTGTCCTCCCATACCTTCCTCTCCTTTCTCTTTTCCTCTGGGGTCCGCTATTTGTGTCGCAAGGCTGTCCAGCCGACTGCAGGGGCGGGACCGCCGCCCGTCGCTAAGGTAATCGGCAAGCCGAGTGCATACTCAGACAGTCGGTCAGAAGCCTTGGGAATACGACTTACGGCAGGCATTTCAGTCGTTCGGTATTGATCGGGAAGCCGGTCGGTGGTCGGTGGGTGCAGGTGTAATCGATAAGACAGCGTCTGGAGACCTGACTGGCAGCAGCTGTGTAAAACCGCAGTCTGCCGCACGGTGGGCTCTGATTTAACCCATACTACAAGCACGACTATCAGAACAGATATGATAGAAACGTACTCTTATTTAACTTTCGATATAAACAGCTTGTTTGACGGTATGCTTAAACTTTAATTGCTCAACACTTTAGCTAGAAATCGAAGGATCATGGGGCATGGATTGATAAATGACGGCTATCGTGTGTCTTCCCGGTGCGATTGACACCACCTGTCTGTGTGTCGTGCAGATGCTGCTGGAGTTTTGTGACGGCGGTGCCGTGGACTCGATCATGGTCGAGCTGGACCGCGGACTGAAGGAGCCCCAGATCGCCTACATCACCCGTGGCATGGTGGAGGGCCTCGAGTATCTGCACCAGCACAAGGTGGTCCACAGGGACATCAAGGCCGGAAACGTGCTGCTCACCATGGACGGAGGCGTCAAACTGAGTGAGTGTCCGAGCGGCAACCTCGTCAAACTGAGGGTGTCTGAGTGTTGGAGAGTCTCGAGTGACGGCCGCCTTCAACCTCGGCCTTAAATTCAGTGAGTGTCTGAGTGTCCGAGTTTCTGCTGCTGTCATCCGGTCGCCGGTGCCGACGGAGCCGTTGGAGCCGCACTGCCTTGTCTCTGTCTCGCTGAAAAGTATAGCCTATTTTAGCGCCATTCTATTGTCGCCAGCTGCCCACCATTGTATCTCCTCCTCCGATGCTTATTGCTTACCGTGACATCCTCTCCCGCAGCCGACTTTGGCGTGTCTGCCAAGAACAAGCACACGCTTCAGAAACACACGACGTTCATCGGCACACCATTCTGGATGGCTCCCGAGGTGATCATCTGTGAGACCTCGCTCAGCGACCCGTACGACCGGCTGGCAGACATCTGGTCACTGGGCATCACCATGATCGAGTTCGCGCAAAAGGTGAGCGGGAACATCGGGCTGCGGCGTCAGTCAGAGCGGTCCGCTGGTGTGTTGTGTTGGAACGTAGCTGTATTGACTTAAGTGTTCTTTTGCTTTTCGGTTAGAATGACGCTGCTTTTTGGCCAATAGTCATGTAATTTTGTTTTGCTTATTCGGACATTATTTTGACGCCCCAAAAAGAACCAGCCTTGTTTGTGCCACTATTAATTAATGGCGAAAGTGTGCACGATATTTGACATGTAACCGTGATTTTTACCTATCTAGGAGCCGCCGTACAACGAGCTGAACCCGGTGCGGGCGATGCTGCGGATACAGAAGTACGACCCTCCGACCCTGGACCGGCCGAGCCAGTGGAGCCGAGAGTTCAACGCCTTCATCGCCGCCTGCCTGAAAAAGGACGCCAGCAAGCGGGCCGAGGCCAGCGAGCTGCTCCAGGTCGGTCTGAACTGGATGAACTGCTGGAGGCGGCTTCCGGTGACGTCCTGAACTTTTGCAGTTGGATGAGAGTGCTCAGTTTTCAGCCGTATTGGATTTGCTACTTGTCCCGCCAGTCAGAAGATATTCCAAGCGGCGCTTTCCTCAGTAAACGATTCCTAGAAGTTCGTTTCGTGAGCGAAATTGAGTAGATCGGACGCGAGATCTGCTTTGTAATTCAATGACGCCTATGAATTGTATTGCGCGCGGAAGACTTGACTCAATTGCTTACCGCTGGTTCAGGTGACAATGGACTGGATAGTGGATATTGAGCCTGATGATGCGCGTTTTTGTCACTCATTTTAATTTTGCGAAAACATTAGCGTAAAAATTAACAAAATTTGAAAAAAATTGTAAAATTTGAGCCTGAAGATGCGCGTTTTTGTCACTCATTTTAATTTTGCGAAAACATTAGCGTAAAAATTTACAGTTTATTGTGAACCTATTACGGCTTAACGAAAGCAGTGCAATCTCAACTTCCACTGTAACAGAACACCAGCTGGACGATGAGCCGAGCTATGTTTGCTGCAAAGTGCCGGTCGGTGCGACTGCGGGCCGCCCGTGCGTTGACCGTCTGTGACTGTGTGCCCTCAGCTACCGTTCATTAACCGCACCCTGGATAACAAGCCGATCCGCGAGCTGCTGCTCGAGTACAAGGCGGACGTGGTCGAGGGTATCGAAGACGCCACCGACGAGGTAGGTCGGTTGGCGGGGGGAGAGGGGAGTACTGCCACGGGGATCGCTCTCGCTGTCAACGCCACATATGCTTCTTTCCCGCGCGTGTGGTCTGGTCTGGAGACTCCCCATTGCCTAATCGCCGTGTCGCTATCTCATCTGGCTATTACGCTTTGTGTACTTGGCGTATCAGCTCGTTCTCCGCCAGTCTACGCCTACGCCGCACCGAATACGCCAGTAATGTGTTCAGAGGGCGAATGGAGTCTCAGTTTTCATGAGCGCATATCTGTTTCTTCTCGTCTTATCACCAGTCTGTTCGCCCTGCGGATCCTTTCTCCGCCGCCTCTCTGCGGCTTTTCTGTGTTCCTTGCTTTGCGCACCCGGCCACGGTGCCGCCCCTACCCCCGTATGTCTGTGTGTTACACGCGGCTCAGAAGGGAAGGAGGCGGAGACAGACACCGTGCTCCGCTCACGGCGGTAAGGTAGGACCAGCGCCAAGTGGGTTCTCATTGTAAATGCGCCACGAAACGGGATTAATCAGTCATTCATGCCTCCGAGTCCGAGGTCGCGGGGGGGGGGGGCAGTTATCTCCGCTCACTCAACCAGCAACCGCTTTTCAGTACCGGGAAGTATATCGGCTTATATTAAACGTGACCAAAATACCGACGCACAGTGGTTCGGATTCGGATGTCCTGTCCACATTAGGTCCTCTTCCGCGCCCTTGTCCGTCTGTCAATGTGTGTGTACCTTTGCGTTGACGCGTCTTCCGTCGGGCAGGACACGCGGGCCTCCCGACTCAGCCTGGACTCTGGCCTGCCGCCGACCGACGAAGGCGACGAAGAGGCCGAGCCCGCCGACGCCGACGCCACCGAGCCGCCGCCGGCATCACCCAAAAAGAAGGTGGGTGTCTCGTCTCCTTCTCAGGCAGGGCAGAGTTAAGAGATGCTGTGATTAGACAAGTAAAACGACTCTATTTTTTTTTTTTTTTTGGTTTGGTAGGTTTTAGGCCAAAAACGTGGTAACGATATTGAAATAACTTGGAGTGGAAAAAGCTTGTTGCTATGTATTTGTTTTCGGTCGAGTCCGTTTTCCTACTGAGCCGTGCATTTTTGGTCTCTCGTTGTGCCGAAAATGACCCAACTACTGCCTGCCTACCTCCAGACACCTGCGAACAAATGCACGTGCTCTGATGGTGCTAACGGTCTGTTTGCCCCGCAGCCGGCGCCGAAGCCGCCAGCCGTGGCCGAGCCGGCCAAGTCGCCAGAGAAAAAGAAGCCGGCGCCGCCCCCACCGGCCCCGGCTGCCGAGGCCGCTCCCGCTGCCGCGGCCGAGGAGAAGACGCCGGTACCGGCGGCGGCCAAAGAGCCGGCACCAGCCTCAGTGCCGGCCAAAAAGTCCGCCCCTGTCCCAGCACCAGCAGCCGCCCCCGCCAAGGAGCCGGCACCAGTCAAACAACCGTCACCAAGCCCGGCTCCTGGTGCGTCACCAACACCGACACCAGTCAAAGAACCAACACCACCTTCAGCGGCGCCGAAAGAAGCAGCACCAGCCCCAGCCAAGGAATCACCGACTAAGGAATCAACGCCTCTTCCAGCAGCAGCAACCAAGGAGCCGACACCCCCACCAGCAGCCAAAGAACCAACACCACCCCCAGCGTCAACCAACGAACCAACACCACCCCCAGCACCAACCAAAGAACCAACAGCAGCTCCGACGGCAGGCAAAGAATCGTCACCTGCACCAGTCAAAGAGTTGGCGCCAGATTCGACTCCAGTCGCGACGTCGGCGAAGGAAACACCTCCCGCAGCAGCTGTTGCAACAACGCCCTCGGCGACGGCAGCAGCAGCAGCGACCACGGCGGCGGCAGGAGGAGCGACAGTAGCAGCATCAGTAGCGGCAGCGGCGGTGACCGTCCAGGACCCAGTTCCTTCAGAGGCAGCGTCTTCCGAAGCGTTAGCGGGTGATGCTCTACCGTCACCGACCGCTGCTGCTGCTGCTGTCCCGTCCGAGGCCCCGTCTTCTGCCGACGCCCCTGCTTCTCCTTCTGCCCCGGCAGCTGCAGGAGACCAGGCCAAAGTTCAGCCAGAAGCGACAGCGCCGGTCTCACAGCCCGCCGCACCGCCGGCAGTGGCGGTGCCGCCTGCAGAGCAGCCCACACCGGCTGAGGAGGCCATGCCCGCTCCGGTGTCATCACCAGCGGAGCCCCAGCCGTCAGCGCCGGCCGAGTCGGCGGCGGCGCCTGTCCCGGCTGTCCCTGCCGCGTCTCCGTCTCCACCTGCCGAGCAGGCGCCGCCGACAGGCCCGGCCGAGGCGGCCGAGGCTCCGGCGGCTGTAGGGGAACCCGCGGAGCCGGCGACCGCCACCGGTCCGCCCGCGCCGGCAACTGCCGGGGAGCCGGAGGGGACGGCGATGGAGACGGAGACGGAGCCGGAGCGGGAGCCGGAGCCGGCTGCTCCGATGGAGGTGGACGACCAGCCGGTGGACCAGGGAGCGGCCGAGACGCCCAGCGTCGGTCTGGCGGCGGGTGACGGCGCCGCGCGCGTCATTGTGTCGGCTGACGACACTGAGTCGGGCGGCACGGTCACCACGCTGATCCAGAGCAGCGGTGACGGTGCGCGCATACAGGTGGTCGACGGTGAGTTCAGGATGGGCGACCGCTCTGTCGGTAGGGTACGCCTATTTAGGATAAGGGTGGCTCTCAAATGGTGATTTGATTTTCTCTCAACGTCTTTGTAAGGTTATTTAATATCTAATCAATCATCCCACCTTCATGCGCTTGCTATGCTCAGTGTTACATGGTTATATTTTGTGTAACGTTTACAACCCGCTGATAATTTATGCATAAATCAGCGTTATATCTCGGGCTCACGGCTGGGTGTGTGATGTTGTGTTTGTGTCGCCGTCAGACTGGCCGCAGCCGGCGGAGGGCGCGGCCCCTCCGCAGCAAGACGAGGAGGCGCTCTCCCCGCCGCCGTCACCGGTAGCCGGCGACGAAGATGAGAGCGACGCCGAGCTGAGCGCCCACCAGATCATGGACTCGCTGATCGGCGAGGTGGTGCGGCTGCAGCACGAGGAGGCCGAGCGCGAGGCGGAGCGCGCCGCCGCCGCCGCACTCGACCAGTCGCTCGAGGAGGCGCTTATCTCGCTCGGCTCCGAGGCGTCCTCGGCCGACGACGAGGCCGTCTGGTCGGAGCTGCCGCCGGAGCGCGGCGCGGGAGACGCCGCTCCGGCCTCTGCCGACACCGGCGACACAGCCGTCTCGGTGGACGAGCCCGGCTCGGGCGGCGGTACAGGTGACGGCCCGGCGCCGGCCGAGGGGGACGCGGTGGATAGCGCCGCGGCCGGCCGCCGGCTGGACGACAGCGAGGTACTGATCGACGGCTGCAGTATCGTGCAGAGCGGCCCGCAGGAGCCGGCGGACGGCGCGGCGGCCGCCGGTCGGCTGGAGCTCACCCTACAGGAGGCCGCCGAGCAGGAGCTGCCCGACCAGGAGCAGGAGACGACCGAGCCGCACGTGTCGGTGGTGCAGGTGGAGCCGGCCGACGACCACACCGCTGCCGGTGAGTGTTCGGGGACTCCGGCCTCTGGGGACACTCAGGGAAGGGTTGTCGGTGGTGGACGTCAGTGCTCGAAGACGTGGGTCTCTGGGTACATTCAGGGAGAGGTTGTCGGTGATGGACGTTATTGCTCGAGGGCGTGGGTCTCTGGGGGACACTCGGGGAGGGCACACGTCGGTGATGTATTGTTGTGTGAGTGATGAAGGCCACAGCTACCAGGACCATCAGGGATGGTTTGGGAAGACTCGAGCCTCAGTGAACTTTGTCCGTATTTTCTTTGAGCTCACCGAAAATAGCCTCTTTGTCGTTCTAGATCCGGGTCTGGTTTTACAGTTTGATGAATTAATTACTTCATGGTGCGTGCGAATTACGGCATGGGCACAACACGCGTTATGTGATTTCATGTAGGATTTCATGTAGATGCTCTTACCTTCCTTATGTTTGCGCTGCATACTGATGAAGGTGATAGTCCGACCAGCATGACGCTCTTGGTCATTTGACGTTTATAATGGGCCGCTGATGGAACATTCGTTAGCTGATGTCAGGATGTTCGTTCGATTCCACATTACTGTCAGTGTCTACTAGTGTTTCTTTAGGTGACGTCACGCACTGATCGTCCTTGCATGACACTTTGGAACGCTTTGGGATCTCGGCGTTCGCGACAATTTCCTACGAGATGACGTCACAACTTACTAATTGATGCGTCTTAGACCCGATTACCATGCAGAATTGGAGTGCCGACAGTACCGGTAGCCGCTTATATCAATGCCTTGTTGAATAGGACCCGGATGTTATACGCCAAATACGGCATGTTTGCCATGCAAATTGGCTTTCAAACGCGTTGACGTACTGGCTGCTGGTAGTACTTACCTCCGTGTGACATGGCGTGCTCTGCTGTGACTCTATTGGTGTCACCCTGTGTTACGTGTGCTGTGACCCCGCCTGGTGGTCCCACGTGTGATATGGTGTGCTGTGACCGACCCCGCAGGCACCGACGGTACCTCTCCGGCGCAACTCAGGCGCCCCTGCTGGTGTTACCCTTTATAACGTGTGCTGTGACCCTGCTAATGCCCCCCCCCCCCGGTGTGACCTGGTGTGCTGTGACCGACTGCTCACTGCAGGCGCCGACGGCACCTCACCGACGTCCCTGCTGGTGGCCGGCACCACGGTCGGCTCCTCGGACGTGGACCAGCTGCCGGATGATGAGGAGGAAGACGATGCGGAAGACGATGACGACGACGACACCGTCTTCTCGCCGCAGCACAACTCCACGGCGCGGGTCAGTCTCCGGCGACAGCCGCTGTCGCTGGCGGGGCGGTTATTGAAGTGGATGCGACTGTACTTGGTTAGATGACACTTCCCTTGCGTGCGACGTAGCACGTACTTATATTTAGTGATCTCCAAATCACAACGACTGTTGCTGCTTATGTAACCATGCTTCTCATACAACATGGTCACACGATACCATTTATTAAAATAACAAGTGATCGTTGTTCTAGTTTTGTATTATACTGATAACCTTCTTGATTAACCCTCACCTCACGTCCTATAAACACTTACTTTTAGTCTGACCTTTGCTCCGTCCATGCAACGACACTAGGTCATTGCCGCTACCTAGTGATTATCCGATGTCCCTCAGTTTACATAACATCAATGAGACCTCTCCACGGCCCACGCTCTCTCCGCCCACCTTGTCTGATCTGTCTCCTGTCTGTCCTTGCAGCTGGTATCTGACCTATCCACTCGCCTCCTACCCGTGATCCACTGTGTGTCTGACCTCTCTTCTCCCTCCGTGCAGCCGGTGTCCCGCGGTAGCAGCGAGGACAGCGGCGAGGAGCGCACCGGATCCGACTCTGCTGGCAGCCAGAAGGAGAACATGCCTCCGCCTGCCGCTCCGCCGCCGCCGGCCGCCTCCAAACAGAACCAGAAGCAGCCGCCGCCGGCTGAGCAGGAGGCGGAGGACGATGACGAGGTGGTGCTCAGGAAGAAACGACCCGCCCCGGCGCCCGCTCAGGTAAAGAAGCTACGCTACACTCCCCCGCCGCCCGCTCAGGTATACAACTCGGTAGACTACCCCACACCGACCCGGGCATGTAACACACACTACACTCCACCGCCGCCGGCTCAGGTAAAGAAGCTACGCTACACTCCCCCGCTGCCCGCTCTGTGTCCTTTTTCATAAAGCCTGGAATTGTAGAATTGTAGTTGTAGTTTGTAGGTTTGTACTTTCGATTGTACAAATCTGTTTCATAAAGGAAAAAGTACAATCCGAAAGTACAAACTACAATTCCACAAACCTACAACTCACATTCCGCAATTATCAGCCAAAAAACTAGCAATCTGTTTCATAAAAAGAACGGTTCCTCTGATTTTGGGATTTCCTTGACGGAAAATACAATCGAAATCTACAACGCCCTAACCGTGTGTAGAATTTCGGAGATGAAGCATAGGAATCAGCTTAACGTTGCTAATAATTTAATTCAATAATAACCAATGCTCAGATACACGATATATATTATTACTGAGCGAGAGAGCGCAGCGAGCGAAGCGAGGTCAACGAAAAAATCTCAGTATTGAGCCGCCCGGTCCGGCCCGGCCAGTAACACTTTTGCCGTGCTAATATCTCAGCAACCGCTGGACCGATTGGCCTTCGGTCTTTTTTGTTGGGTAGTCCTATTCCTTCTACCCCGTAATTGACTACTCCTAATGCATTTCAGAAACCCTCAGTGGCACGTACCACCATTGGCTATGGAACGGGTGGGGGGCACCGTACCCCCCTTTGATTTTGCTATTTTATCATTAGCCCTATGGACGTTGCATGGAAAGAATGGGATCAAAAGTCGGCAGTCGGCAGACCCCTTAATTGAAGGTGTTACGCCGCTACTGCGTGCCACGTGAAAAGTCAAGGGTGTTCATTTTCAAGCTGTTTTGCAAAAGTAGTGATTTTGAGAGGCTCATATCTCAGCAGCCGCTAGGACGATTGTCTTGCGGTAATTGTTGTAGGGTAGCTGCATCCCTTCTACCAAAGGTCGCATACTCTTGACCTATGTGAGTGGCCCCCACTGCATGTGCAAAAAGCAAAAAGAAGAGGTGTTAACTTTGTTCCCGCTCGTTTTTCGCCCAAAAGGCACTTAACTGGTTATTTTCATCATTTTCCTGTTTATATACAACTTCATGTGTGCCGCATTTCCGAAAAAATGCCGGCATTGAACGGCTCGACCCGACCCCCCTCGATCCGGCTGACCCACGCCAATGGCGTTTTTGAACGGAAGGAACTAAAGCGCTGAAATTCGTAGCATCGTTCGGGCCTATTCATTGTTTATAATTCGACAAAAAGACGGTATTTTATCAACAATTTATTTTCCTTATTCATACGAACCTTTTTGTCAGTAAGTAGTCATAATAAGTTCACGAATAATATCTAAAAGTGAAGGATAAATATATAGGTACCTAGCTATTATTGATATCAATATCTGAATACATTATGCTAGGTACTATACCTACCATCGATCGACTCATGTAACATTTTTTTTAACATAGGTAGCTCATAATCTTACATTAACATAACAGTTTTTTTGCGGATAAAGTTCTCTGGGAAAAAAGAGCAGCCTACGCTCATGTCCTATTCGTTTCCGGCTCAGTTTCTTCAACCAACACAATGGAATGACCATGCATCTTCTCTTCAAGACTTGTAGCCCATTTCCTTTCACGCAGTAGGAAAGCTTGTATTTTTATCAGTTTTCATCCCGTCTCCTGGGTGGCTCCAGCCTCCATCTATTTGCTTCTCGCTTCGTCACAATGCTCTTGCATTTTGATTTTGGCATTTGATTCGCTGGCTTTCTTGTTGCTTCATGTTTCACAAGGCTGCATTACTTATCAAAACGGGTAATTCAAGGCTCAAAGCAATTTGAGGTCACATAGCTCGTCGCTAGGTAATATGACGGTCAACAATATCCATAATAACCACTCTATAACCCGGATAGGCTTAGCCTAAACCTTTTTCAGCCATTTTTGCATTATTGTCTGAACAATTCATGAATAATTCTTTCACGAAACTAATGACTTGTTGGACTTACCCAGATACCAAATCTCGAAACAAGTACATCTTGAAATGATTGCAATGTTGAAAATGTTAATACTTTCAGCATAAAAGTTCTAGCTATGCATGTGCAAAGCGATGGCTGATCCCTAAAAGCAATTCAAGTTATTTATCAATAATTATTTCTTTTAAAAATTGCAAAAAACTGTCAGCACACCATACGCAATTTGCAACACAACATCGAAAACTGTTGCAGAAGTTTTTGTTTACTCCGTTGCCATGGAGACGAAGCCCCGCAAAACTACGCTCCCGGATCGAAAGTACAATTCTATTGACGCCGCATGTCCAGGCTTTATGAAAAGTAGTAGTTTGTAAAATTGTACTTTGAAAACTACAAATGTACAAACTACAATCGGATTGTAGAATCTTTATGAAAAAGGACACTGGTATAGCACATATTTTGGATGCAGGCGCAAAAATGTACCCCAGTTCACTGATGCAACCCGCTTTTGTGTGTATGGGGTTTTCTTTTCTGTCATGTTCGCAATAAAAAATGAAAAATAATAAATATATAGTAATACAATTTCTGTTATGCCCGAAACAGCCGATGCTTTTCGTAAACAAACGTCGGATTCATTATTCGTTACAGGCTTGCCACCGCGCAGTAGGTACAGTCCACAGCAGAAGTAATGTGGGGTTTCAGTCATGGGTATGTTCTGCAGCCTTCTGAAGCTTAGGAACGATTAGCCAGACTACAATGAAACTTTGAATGTAGCTTATATGTATTGTATCGTTACCCTTGCAGCTGCAACTTTAGCTATTGACATCTTCTTTTCGATCACTCCGCATTAAACAATCGCCAGTCAAAGCCAACCGTTGAGATTGGTAAAACCCAAGATTACTTTACTACTCTGTACTATGTACTCTGTACTCTGTACTTTACTACTATGTAGGGTAAAACCCTACATTACTTTAGCGGTGGGCTGTACTTAGGAGACATACCAGTTCAGTGTATGCTATCTCGTCGCTGGTGCGCTTATTACGAGCGAGCGAGCGCAGCGAGCGAAGCGAGTCTTTTCAATATAACGGAAAAATCTCAGTATGAGCGGCCCGGCCCGGCCCGGCCCGGCCTGTAACGCTTTTGAGAGGCTTATATCTCAGCAACCGCTGGACCGATTGGCCTGCGGTCTTTTTTGCTGGGTAGCCCCATCCCTTCTACCCCGTAATTGACTACTTTTGATACATCTCAGTGACCGTCGTGGCACGTGCCACGTGAAAAGTCAAGGGTGTTCAAGCTGTTTTGCAAAAGTAGTGATTTTGAGAGGCTCATATCTCAGCAGCTGCTTGGGCGATTGACTTGCGGTAATTTTTATAGGGTAGCTGCATCCTTTCTACCAAAAATAGGATACTCTCGATGCATGTGGGTCACCCCCAGTGCACGTGCAAAATACAACAATAAGAGGTGTCAAATTTGTTCCCATTTTAATAACTCGGTAATTACTGGGGCGATTTCGCTGAAATTTGGCATACAGGTAGGCACCCACCAGGCAATGCATGCCCATGTGTTGCGGTTAAGGTGCTACTGCACGTGCGCACGTGCAGGGGGCGCTTCCAGATCTCGAGAATGGCTGGGCCGATTGCGCTCAAATTCGGTACACGGTTGGAGACCGGTTAGTAGGGTGCCGTGCAATAGTCAGTTTGGACCCCGTTTGCACGTGCGCACGTGCAGAATGCCGCTTCCAGATCTCAGGAACGGCTGGGCCGATTGCGTTCAAATTTGGTACACCGCTAGCGACCGGTTAGAAGGGTGCTTTGCGCAAGCCCGTTGGAAGTACCCTCTCGCCCTTCCGCACGTGCAGGGCTCACTAACTCGCTCGTTCGTTCTTCGCCCAAAAGGCGTTTTACTGGTTTATTGTAGTCGGGAGTCGCGCTCTCTGACCGTCGCTGCGTTTTCAGGACACGTCGGGCGTGTCGCGCTCCTCCACCATGAGTCGCACCAAGGAGGAACAGGCCATCTCCAACCTGCGCAAGAAGACGCGGAAGCGCACGCGCCGCTTCGAGATCGACGGCGTCATCGTCACCACCACCACCCACAAGGTGTTCTACGGCGACGACGACTCGGCCTTCGTCGACGAGCACGTCTTCAGGAAACAGGAGCTGCGCGACCTCAAGATGCTGCAGAAACAGGAGCAGAAACAGTTCCGCGAGCTTAACGCCAAGGTAATCAATTGTCTCATTGTGTATGATGTCATGATGTGTTAACTGACAAAGCCAACTTATTATTTCAAAATTATTGGACAATAGATTGAGATATAGAGGATACGCAAATATCTCGAAGTCATTTGCAATAACACTCCTTACAATTGCGGTCCAAGTGCCTCGATAAAATTGGCTTGCATTTTCTCCACCCCCTCTCATTGTCGACGACCTCTTTGTTCCCGCCGCCCCGGCTGTGTCGCTGACCGTCTGGTCCCGCCCGTCCGCCCACAGTCGCAGCTGGGCCGCGACAACCAGCAGCGCAAGTTCGAGTCGGAGATGGCGCAGCTGGTGCGCCAGTACGACAGCGACCTGGACAGTCTGCAGCGGCAACAGAAGTCGCAGGTGGAGCGCGCAGAGCTGCAGCAGGAGAGCGACCTGCGCTCCGCCAGCAAAAAGATCCGCGCCGAACAGGTCGGTCAGAGTTAGGAGCACCAAGGGGATGGAGACGGGGGAGGGGTGTCTTGTTTATAAGCATCAAATAGAAAACCTTCAGGTCGATTTGGTACTGGTGCTGGCTGCTAGTTTGCACCATGGTTCTATGACGGCCATGACTGCCGTGAAGTTCGTCTTCCTCAGACTGTGACTATCTGAGTATCATAATAGGAGCTGACGTTGTTTGTGCACCGATCCGAATATTGATTTAGCGACCACGGTTTCTAGAGCGGAGATAGTAATTGCACTGTGACCGACGCCCCGTCTCCGTAACCACTTTACAGGAGCGCGAGCTGAAGACGTTCCGCGACACGCTGAAGCAGGAGGTGCGCCTGCTGAAGCAGGAGACGGACATGCTGCCGCGCGACAGGCGCAAGGAGGCGTTCCGCACGCGCCGCGAGCGGCTGGACGCCGAGCACCAGGCCAAGGAGCGCGACTTCATCGAACGGCTGAACGAGTCGCACGAGTCTTCCCTGCAGCGGCTGGCCGAGCAGCACCGCGAGAAGATCGCCCTCATGGAGAAACAGTTCCTGCAGCAGAAACAGCAGGTACGTACCTACCCGCCGCCGGCCGCAGTTCCACTCCCAATGAACTGACCGCCGGTGTTGCGGCCTGTTGCCAGTGGAGTCATTGTCAGTCGTCGTGAGTCGATCTCCGAGTCATGAGATTATCCGTGAGAGTTTAAGTTGAGCGGTAGGATTGTATAATTGTACGTTGCCTGACTTCTCGTCTGCGTCACCCTCAGCTGCTGCGCGCCAAGGAGTCGGCCGTGTGGGAGCTGGAGGAGCGGCAGATCCACGAGAAACACCAGATGAGCAAACATCAGGTCAAGGAGGTGTTCTTCCTGCAGCGACATCAGGTCTGTCTGGGTGGCAGGTCGCCGCAGAGTGCGACGGGATGAGGTGCAGCACAGTGTCGGGGATACCGTACAGATTGGCTATAGCTGACTAAGAGCAATAGCATGACTCTCTTGTAATCGAAGGTTGATA